GAGAATCTCTGACAGATAGAGTTTTGTCTGTCTCAATTTTGGGGGCACTGATGGCAGGGTTACACGGTGGCAGCCTCTGAGCAAGACGCAACTGAAACTGTTTGGGGTCTGAAATCCATTGGAGTCATTCATTAGGGATGTCAGCAGAAAAGCACAGTTGTCCTGCACCAATCTGTGGCAGGTTGTATCCTAACCAGCCTTCTCCTCCCATTGTCCATTCACAGAAACAGATTTTCCTCCAACTCCAGCCAAACTGGCCAAAGCTTATAGGCTGTGGTGCTGTGCTTGCTCCCCCTCAGTTAAGCTTTGTTCGTGTAGCAGCATAATTGAATCCACGTGTCTGAATAGCTCTGCAACAATGAGGCATTTGGGTTTGGTTTTTTTTTCAAGCAAATGCAAAGCATTTCCCCCTGCACACAGCGATGCTAAATATAAATTGGGTAGTTTCTAGCAGTTATTCCATATATGGGCTCTTCTTTTTCGCTTGTCATCATGGACCAAACTAGGAGAGCCATGTCAGAGAAACTGTATGTGGCTGGTGTGCTTGGCCTGGACGGCTGGGATCCTTGTGTTCTCGTTCATCTCACCTTGCAGTGGGGTGGTTGGTGAGCGCCAAGATGGGATGACAATGTAGCACAGCACCTACTCCACATCTCTGCTCTTTTTGGGGACCTGTCTGGATCTCTCCCCCACAGCTGCTAAGTTGGGAGTGAATTCATGACTTTCCCCCTGAACTCTCTGGTGCTGGGGACGGAGGGAGAAGCTCCCATAGATACAGCAGGAGGAAGAAGAGAAATCCTGAGGGTGACAGCAACTTATTGATGAGCAGAAATCTGAATAAACTGCTGTAATCCTGGCTGGTCTTGTTTAGCATCTGAGAGAGAGCTGGGAGAGGGGAGCTTGTGCATGAACTATGGGATCTGTGACAAGCACCTGGGTGTTAACTTATCAGAAATGGGAGATGAAGAAGACCTCTGTCCAGCTTGTTGTTTCTGTATTCTTAAGGCCTGGGACTGCTCTGCTGTGCATTACAGGGCTGTCTCAGAGCATGAGGCGGGGGGCACCAAGTGCATGACATCAAGGTGCTTCTGCGAGCTTTTCTGCTTAGGTTGCTTTGAGCAGAGATCTTCTGCAAATTAGATCCTCCGTTTGCTTCTGGGTCCTGTGCAGAGTCTCATCATCTTCTCTGTCCCTTCAGGATCCTCCTTGCCATGCATTGTTACTTGTGCTGTACCTTTTAGTCAGAACAGCAGCATCTGGTTCTTTGGGTCCCAGGTAACCTCGGCATCAAACAGCAAAAGCAAAGGCTGTGGCAGGAAGTGTGAGACCAGGACCAGCGGTGTGCGACTCACCAGAGGTGCCTGAGGTGCAGCAGACCTGCTTCAGGGAGGTTTCCCAGGTGTGTCTTTGTGCATCACAGTGGGTATCTGTACAGGTTTTCCTTTTTTCAGCCCTGTTGCTAAGCCCCCAACACAACGAAGTCCTCATCTGTGTTTGCAGGACCTTGGAGATTCCTTCCACCTCTTGGCGAGAGAAAGCTGAAAATACCCACGGATCTGAAGAAGAGTGTGTCTCCATTGGCCCCTGTCTCTGGAGATCTGACAGTCCCCATGGGAGCATTCCAGGAGCTCCAGAAATCCTGGCCCTCACTCTTGCAAGTGTTGGACTGTATCTTTCCCGGAGGTACCACGGGCTGGAGAAACCCACATGTACCTTGACCATAATCAGGCCCAGAGCCTTTCTGTAGCGGTTCCTGATGTCAGCATGTTTCTGCAATGTCCTTTTTTTAATTTGTGGGCTACTTTAAATGTCCCTGTCACAGGGAGACATCCTGTCATCTGTACTCGAGGCTCTGACTTTAGCATTTGCTGTTGTCTTGGTTGCTCTTGCTACTTCTTTGATCGAGCAAGAATTCAGAGTTCAAGCATAGCTCTCTGGCGAGTTTAATTTAACAAAGAAAGAATTTGTATGAATATGAATCTTCATCAGTTTCTGGGGTCCTGCTGCCCCACACAGAGTCATCTCTCAGGTGTCCCCCCAATTCCTGCTTTGTGGCTGCACAGTTAAACTCTCCTGAGAGCCACTCAAAGCCTGTTTCAAAGAAAATGTCTCATGCATGAATAGCTGTAGGTGTGGATTGGACAGGTTGCAAACCTCTCCCTCCTCCCAGTGCTGTCCAGTCCTGGTTGTACCTGCTCTGGCAGCCTGTGGTGTAACCATGCTACTCCACCACAGGGGATGGATGGACAGAAGGATGACTGCAGCTGTACATTGCTGGAGCTGTAGGCTTATTTTCTGTTTCTGCTGAGTTTCTGGCATTTAGCTCTGTCAGCTCCCTCCAAACGAAACTGGGCCCGTGTGTTTCCCCCAGTGAGCGCTGACATACATTAATGACAGTAAAAATAGGTGCACTGCTTACCAGCCTATGGAAAGGAAGATGTGCAGAGTGGATATGTACAGATTTCTTCATAATACTTCACGGGTTATTTCCTTCTTTACTTGCTAACTCAGGGTTTCCAATCTCCCATGCTCCATCAATGCCTCATGCCATGTAAGGAGTGAATCTCCATTCTCCTTTCATGATGCCTTCAGGCTGAAAGGGCAAAATGGCCCCGTGATCTTGCACCTCACCAAGTCAAAAAGGTTTTAGTTCATCTTCCAGCTACAAATTCTTGTGGTTTTTTTGATCTGTTTTCTCTCTTTCTCCCTTTTTCTACTTGTGTTTTCGGTTAAGCCTCACAAGGTGTTTTTTGTCCGCAGCAATCCAATCACACAAATCTCTGTGTTGTTATATAAAAAGGGGAAGTGAATTCTCTGGCAAGCCATGGCTCTTGTGAGCATTTATTAGCTAGTGCTAGAAATTAGTGCCTAATCTCATCTAAAAACTTCATTATATGTGAAACTTGAGAGGGTTGCTCTTAAAAAAGGCTGCTGATTGATGACAACACAGATTTTGTGTGTGCTGTCATCTTTATCCTGGCTGTGATTCCTTTTTTTTTTTTTTTTTAGCTAGTGAGGATGTGAGGGACAGAAGAAGCCTAATGGGACTTCATGTACTGGGTGATGTATGGGGCACTTGCAGTCAGAAATATTGAACTCATAAATGTACTCATTTGCCCTGGAGTCACTGAGAGGGAGACTAAATACAGGACACCGCAATGTCACAGTCATGCAGAGTCACTTCTGTAACAACAGAGTGACAGCAAAAGGGCCGTATTTTCCTTGGATTTTACTGCAAATCTGTAAATGAGCTCTCTGAGGCCGCTCTCGTTGGCTGGAGGAGAAGGTGAACTTTTGCTGGATTAGTCTGTATGCAGACCCCTTTTGCATCTTGGTGGGTTTTTTTCCCCTGACATTCTGAACATTTTGGGGTGCTATTTTGGAGCAATCCTGCACATGCTGTCTGTTCTGTCTCGTGCCTCCAGCACAGCACTGCAACCTTAAGCTCTACCAGCCCGCCCCTCAAGCATGAAGGTGACCAGAGGTTGAATGTGCACACCCGAGGCAGATGGCAAGCCCCAGTCTTGCAGGGGTGTTTGAGAGAGATTTTCTTCATGTTACTTCAGCAGCACAGAAGGAAATGAAAGTGTTTCTTACTGTAAATACTTTTTTCTCTCCCCCTTCCTCTGCACCGCTGTGAGTATCTGAAGACTCACTTCACTGCTTTTCTCAGAGGAGTCTATTTCTGTCTCAGATCAATTTAGGCCTGTCCTATGCACATATGATAAAGACAGGATGTTGCTGTGATAGCCTTGAACAGACTTGCAAGTTTGGGACACTGGGAGCAAGAGGTAAGATGTGATTGTCATGGATAAGTCAGAGGGGCCAAACCAGTGGCTGAAACGCGGAATTTATTGAGCATAGCCAAATTGTTGGAAAAACAGGGCAGACCACAAGATAATGGGTTTACCCATTTCTCAGAAATGATTGTGTTCGTGTGATTCCACCATGTGGAGCTCCCTTAATGGGCTGTGTCCTTCTCTGTGCCCAGAGAAACAGCACAAGAGTATAGGGTTCCCAGTTGCATCCTCGGCTGCTGTTTTAGTTACTCCCCAGCACATCTGCTGGGTGCATCTAAACAAAATCCAGGTGTTGGCTCCAATGCTATACCAGCTTCCTTTCTCCAGTAAGCGAGACAGTTTGTGCTGTGTTGCTTGTGTAGCACACCTAGGCACTTGGTGCAACACACCAGTGTGCTTTAAGCCGCCTCAAAGGATGCCAACAAAGTGTCTGGCCCTACCAGGCTCTAGATAACTGGTTCACAGGGGTTCTTCAAGACTGGCTTTTCAGTCTCGGCTCTGGGATCTGCACGTCCAACAGAGCTGGGGTGTCTTTCAGGCTGCATTCAGTTTAGTTTTGCAATGCAACTTAACTTCCCATAACCTTTATTCTTTGCCTGGGGCGGCTGCATGGAGCTCTTTCTTGTGTGTCAGGTACCATTTGGTCACTAGAAGAGCCCACCAAAGTTCAGGCTGGCAACATATTCTTTGGGAACAGAGGGTAAGCCTTGTCCCACACCTCCTCCCTGCTGGTGAGACCCTCCATGAGTGAGTGTTGCTAGTAGTTCAGAAAACCAGCTGGTCTGCACGTGCAGTGCTTTATCTGACTGCCCTGATTTCTCTTCCCTGGATGGGGATGCTGTACTTCAATAAACCAGAAAAGGATGAAAAAAAAGGTTTTTTTCACCTTCGCCAGGTCTTGGCGTTAGCATCTTCCTAAGTGGGGTGAGCTGACCAGGAGATATTTTTGTCTCTCCTCTCCACTCAGCCCTATTCTCACACACAGTTATCTCCAATCTGCGGGACTTTGCAGAGCACACTGTGGGTTGTGTTGGTTCAGCCCGAGCTCAGTCACCCAAAACCTTGCAGGTCTATTTTGAACCATCATTCAATCTGTCCACCATGGAGTTTCTTTTCTTTTTTTTTTTTCCCCCCACTCTTGCTTCTGACATCATTTCCTGAACACTATATTCACTGAGCTCTGTAGCCAGATCGTCCTCTCAGCATATGATGCAAGGAGCTCTTTAAAATGGATTTCGGCTCTCCTTTTACTCTGCAGTGCTTGCTGGTGATAATAACTGTTACTCATGGTAAGTGGGATTTCTCTTTATGGAGTTGGCACGGATTTGTCTAGATGAGCAGATGCCTTAATTTTGCTCCAAGATCTTTTAAGGACTCCACCAGGTTTGGGGAGACATCAAACAGTGTAACCGCTAATGCATGAACGGGGCAGTCAGACCAAAGTAAGACAGATTATTTTTTTGGTAAATGAACGATAACTAACAGAATTGTACTTTCCGGGTGTACTGCGTCCGTGAGAGCATTTCAGCGGACAATGCAAAGTCCTTGTGCACACAGGGCTGGCTGGAGAGCAATGTGGTCCTGCTCCTAATTCTTGGTGTGACCTTGGGTTAGTCCCCGAGCTGCTCTTGCCCTGCCATTTACCCATCTTTTGAATTTTAAGTTGCAGACAGCAACTTAATAACGTGTGAGGGGACTATGAGACCTGTTCCAGCTAAAGCTGCGACCTTACTCTTTGGGGAAAAGCAGCTGTGCAGGCAGCTGTTGTTTCTGCTCCCCTCTGTACAGGATCCATGGCATCGATGCCTTGAGGATCTTTCTTTGCACAGTCTCTCATGTCTGATGGGGGGTGGTAGATGATCATGTAAAATTTGGGGAGAGAAAGGACCAGCTGTTCAGCCTTTTGTTTCCCTTTTTGTGCACACCATTCCTGGGTTATCGAGGTGGGGGGAAGCTGACCCTTATGGAAGGCTTCCCACTCCTCTGATTTTCAATCACTGGTGATCCAACCTGTCACTAGGGTTGGGTCTGTGCCTCTTACGTCTCACCTGGGCATTTGCCTTTTTGGGAGGCAGCCGAGAGGGGATGGATGGACACGGCAAGCTTGCCGCCCACACTCTGTGCCTCTCCTTTCAGGCTCTGTCACCCGGATTAGTGTGCTCAGTGGCGGCTCAGCAGTCTTTCCTGTGGGAAACCAAAGCCTGCAGACCCTCTCCAGAATGAACAAGGGGGACGGGGTGTGCTCGACAACTGTCTTAAATGATGCTTTGTTGGCCAAGTGCGGCAATTCTGCCAGTAGGTGCCTGAACTGGCTGAATGGCTCCCTGGAGCTGAAGAGTGTGGAGAAAGAGGACGAAGGAAAATATGAGTTTGTTTTTCCCAATGCCACCAGTTATTTTGCACTGGAAGTATTTGGTAAGTGGCCTTCTTAGCAATAAACAGCTTTTGAACTTGTGAGCCTGTTTGGAAGCTTGGTGCCCTGAAATTCCTCCTAAGAAATTGCTTGAGCCTGCAGGAGCTATAGATGCCTCTTGAAGAAGCTTTTTTAAAGCTTCTGGCACACTCAGAGAGCAGTAATGGTCAGTGTAAACTAAGACCTGCTCTTTGCATCCTCTTTGTCTCTCCTGTCTGTTGATCCTTCCTTGAAGTAGCCAGTCAGTTGAGTTCTGGGCTATTTTCCATGATGTAAGAGGCAGCAGCATGAAGTGTTTGTAAACTTGAGCTTACACTACATAGACATGTAGCTGGAGATTTCAGTCTGTTTGCAGAGCACTATTCCTGATGGCTCCCACAAAAGCTCCCACTGACCAACAGCATTTTGCTGCCTGTGGACACTTTTCCCTAAGGAGTTAACCCTGCCTGACTTGGCTCTGAAAGTGGAACTGGACTTCTGTGCAGGTCTGGGCTGAGGTGTGCTGGGGTTTCCCTCTGTTTCATGCAGCTGAGGAAAAATGCTAAAGGCACCTGTGAGTGATTCTTAGCTACCCCTGAGCAGCTTGGAGGTCAGCATCTTCTGGGTCTGTCCAGAGACCTTACCCATGCCAGCCTCCCCACTGTTCTCCCTGTGGCCTCAGAATTCCTGCTCCCTTTTGTGTGCCTGCTCATCCACCTGCAGGGTCTGAAGACAGAAAAAAAGTCGCTTCTGTACAGGATCCAGCTCATTGCTTGGGGTAATAAGGAGAAGGCTTAAAGGGGTTTGTCCCCCTGCTGAACGATGCTCCAGGCAGCCAGCGACCATTGCTCCGGTCCTCATCTCCACCCTTCCTTTTGCAGGGCTTTCACTTACACAAGCTTCCAAGATAAATTGAAGCGTGTGAAACTGTAATGAAAATGTCTGAGCAAACTGATCTCAGTGAAGACAAACGAACGCTCACCCCTTTTGGGTGCAAACAGGCGGAACCGCGGTGGAGAGCAGGTCAAAGATGTGACTCCTTGGCACGAAGATCAGGGGCTTAGACTGGAAGTAGGCAAAGACTGCAGAAGTGTCCTGGGTTTAACTTCCATTTCAGTGGATTTGCTTTGGGGGTTTTTGTCTCCTCCTTGTGTTCTGTTGGCACACCTAAGGCAGGGAAACAATTTCACAGCAAAGGTGTTCCTGGAGGCACGAGTTTTAACTGAAGATGATGTCCTAGTTGAAGAAAGTGATTTCTGAACTTATTTGCATGGATGGATGTTGTCTAATGTTACTCCTGCTGCCAAAAAACCACGCCACTTCTCTGTCTAGTTCGTATTTGCAAAGTGACAAATGTAGGAAATAGGTTTGCTCCTTGTAGTAGACTGAGAGAGAGAAATTCAGGGAAATGTAGTAAGAGCAATGGTGCATTGCTTCATTTTAAGAATTCATAGTCTGGGTATCGTTTCTCACCGCAGTTATCTGGTGTTGGTTCCCATGTTGGGCATGATTTGCACTAGTTCCTCTCTACAATGGAAGAAGAGGCAGAGTGACAGCAAAAGTACAAACCTCTGGTGGAGGAAAGGGCTGAGTCTGCCCTGAAGCTATGGTTATCTGCTGATTACAGAGAAAGCCTCTGGCTGGCAGATCCTTTGGATAGTTCCACAGTTCTCTCAGATCAGGGGCTTTTATTTTTGGAGGTTTTTTTTCAGTGTCAGTAAGGAAAATGAAGAGATGCCAGATTTTTGTCGCATCCCCAAAATAGGGACCAAAGAGTCACTATCAGGGTTGGGGAGGGCACTGTTAAGCATTTCAGGGTTGAGTGCAGGCGCTGAAGGGTCTGGTTACTTACTTCTGTGCTTCCTGGCTACCAGTAAGTGCTGTGGCACTGAGATTGCTGGTAAGGGAAGCTCCTGTTCAGCTCATGCTGAGTCCGCTCCTCACCTCTCTCTTTTCTCCCTGTTCGCATTGTGACCAGAGCCGACCATTGGGATCCAGTGCTTCCCTAATGGGACTGCGGAGTTGTCCTGCAACGCGACCAGCACCGAGAGCATGACCTTCCGGTGGCAGCTGAGCGGCAAAGAGCTCAGTGCCCCCGGGGCTTGTGTTAAGGACGGTGGGAGGAAGGTCCGCCTAGACAAAACCGTGCCTGGGGAGTTTGTGTGCGTGGTGTCCCACGGGAGCAGCGTCACGAGGACCAGGCCTGTTGCGCTGTCTTGTAGCTACGGTGAGTAACCAGAAAATCTTCCTCTTGGTCTCTTCCAGCAGCAAACTGAGGAGTTGTCGGTGCCCTCAAAGTGCTGAACTCTTCTGTCCTCTGGCAGCTGCCTTTCCAGACTTAGCACATCCTGCCTTCAGAAAGCGACCTCTTGACTTCCTTCTCCCTCCTGTGTCTTGGACTGACACAGCCTAAAATCACTGATGGGATGAAAGTTTGTTCAGGAGGTCCTTTTACCCAGTTCTGCAGCAAGGATGAATCTCTATCTGTCTGTTTTCCTGCTTCCCAGTGATAGAGACCTTGCACCCTTCTGTGCACTGATTCTTAGTGCCAGTTTAGAAACACATGCTGCTTTCTACTCTGACATTCATCCATGACCTTGATGGCCTTCCAGTTTCTGTGCATCCCTATAAAAACACCTCTGCTACTTCAGCCCTGTTGCTCCTGCACTCAGCTAAGGTGTTTTGCCTCATCTATTTTCTCCCTGTCTAGGTCAGAAACACAAAGATTTGTGAGTCTATGCAAATGTTTCTCCATCAGCCCCACACCATCAGAAGTGGGTAGAGACACAAGTCATTTTTACTTATGGAATGTCCCTGCTCAGATATGTAGCACTGCGAGAAGGCTGGGACTTTATCCATTTGCAAACTATTCATAAATGCTTGAGTGGGGCCATAGTTTAATGAGACAGAAAATCTGGATCCTTGGGTATAATTTCATTTGCACCTGCAGTAGAGAAGGTTATTCTGCTCTGTGGCAGCAAAGATGGTTATCAAGAGTTACATCAGAGCTACACGCATAATTTAACCACAAGGTTTATGACTAATTTAGCTGTAATTAATTTAATTACCTGCTGCTAGAGAAATGGTACTCTCTAATAGCACCTAGCATTTTAGAAATTGTCAGAGACACTCCAACATTGCAGCAGATACCGTCTTTTCTTCTGTGGTTGGCACACAGTCGGTGCGAAAGCAAACTTACTGGCCCAAGCCCCGTGTCCAGTGTGCTGGCATCCAGCAGAAACACCATGGGCTGTTTGTGCCTGGTCACACTGGCACTGCTGGCCAGTCTGTGCAGGTTTGGTGTTCATGGTTGTGGAGCAGCGATCCGGGTTTTGTCCGGTGAAATTGGCCAGAGGCCGCTCGGCGCAGCCGGACCCGAGTTGGCCGCGGCACCGGGGAATGAGGATGTGAACGCCCGTGAGCTGTTCAGGCAAGCCCTGAGACAAACCATGTGAGTGCTGACAGTTGCCATCGTTGGTTCTGGGTGGCTGCCCAGTCCCCTGGGTGCGATATCAGTTCCCCATTTCCTCTTGAAGAGCCCCCGGGGGAACTCAGCGGTGGCTCTGTTGGGATGGACACGCTCATGGACGCGTATTTGGAAGGCTCTGAGAGAAAGAAAGCAGCAGCGATTCTACTTTAGTCACCAAATGCAACCACATTTGTAAAATGTGAACTAAAGCAATTCTGAATACCAGTAAAAAGAATTGTGAAATGAGTTCACATAAATTAATTAATGACTAAGTCATTATTTTTGCGGGTTATTATTTCTTCCAGGCCAAGGGCTGAATTTAGTTTTTCCACTGTAGGTGTAAGATCTATGTAAAAACACCTATTTGGGCAACCTGTTGACTGATGATTAATTTTGAATAATTGTTACTATAAAACAATTTGGCAGAAATGCTGTGAACTTTCCAGGCATCAAAGGGCTCTGAACACTCAAGATCTAAAGAAGAGGGTTCAGAACTTAACAAGTCAACGTATATAAAAGACATTTATTGATTCATTACTTGTTTATTGCTTATTTTTAACACAATATTTTATCTCAAAAAGACCTTTTCAACAAATGGCAAATTTTTAGGAGAAAAAATTCAGGAAAAAAATCCAACTAATATTCATGTCTTTGATAATATTCTCTAAGCTTTTATCAAAAAGGAAATAAAATTATTATGGAAATTATTTTGGATTTGGTTTTTTTTGAACTTGGCAAAAGAGATTGGAAAAAGGACTCTGAAAATACCATGAGTGTGTGTGGTTTCACACACAGGAGCACACACTGTCGTTTTTACTGTCCTGGTGAGTTGTGTTGACTATGACAGCATGTAGTATGACTTGGAACATTTGAAATCCTTCCCAGCCCCTGGAGATATGGAGCAATTTGTGCTTTGGAGGGCTTGAAAATAAGCTCCAAATGATCCTGTTGGTTGCTGCAGTGCTGTGCTGTGCTGTGCAGGCATGTGTGCAGCTGAAAACAAGTTAAATGATTCAGAAAAGGATGGCATAGGCTTACCTAAGGAGTTTTAAGGAATTTATATTGCAGCGATAGTGGAATTGTGCGGGTTTTTTTTCATATGAGAAGGAGAGTTTTCCTCCTGGCTGCCCCCGGTTGGAGCAAATTGTCTCGGTGAAGGAGCAAGTCTGGATGAGTTTCTCTTTTCTGCAAGTGTGTGATGCCCCCTACCAGCTCCCCTGCTCAGCAGCAGCGAACCTGCAGGTCTGACCCGTCAAAGCAACCCTGAGCAAGGGACGCTGAGCTGGGTAATAATTACCACTGACTTGTGCGTGGCCTTCTGCTCAGCCATCTGCAGCCTTCGCCTCCTGCTGGGGGCTTTGCATCATCTCGGCTGGGCAGGGGAACAGAGAGAAATCCTTCTCCGAGCAGCAGTGGAATCGGTTTCCTACAGCTCTGGCTCTGGTGGCTGCAGCCTTTGGTGCCTGAGGAGTGCAAGATCTGCTCAGACCTGCTCTGAGGTTGGAGCAGTCCTTTCATGGTTGTCCTGAGCAGATTCTCTGGGCCTATTACAAGCTCTGAGGGTAGACTGCAGCTTTTCCTTCAGCAGGAGATGCCTCCCTAGGTCTCCCTCCTCCTCTCAGCTGCTTGTTTCCATAACACTTGTTGAAATGTACTGTCTTTTAAACCACCACCTTCCCTCTTAATCTTGATTAAAACTTAGAAATTATCTCAGATGCTACTGATCAGAGCAGGCAGAAATAAGGCACACAGCTTAGTCACACAGGCCTGTTCTCCTAATGAAAAGTTCCATACCATACTTAAACATTGTGATGTAACTCATGCTCTGCCACCATATCAGCCTCCCTGATCCAACCCAGAGCAACAGTGCTGCCCATGTGCTCTAATCCAGCTGCAGGGTTTCTCCCACTGGGAGAAAGAAACTTGTCCACCTAACAATGCCATGTCCTTCTTGCAGGAGACCTGCTGCAGTACCCATGGTTCATTTACATCCTGGCAGGCTGTGCAGTGGGTGTGCTTATCCTGCTGGTGGTTGTGCCCTCAGTCGTATGTTGCTGCGTGAAGAGGAAACACAAGTTCATCCCCGTGCCCTCAGGTGAGTGGAGAATGCTGTGACCCCCTGGGATGAGTCTCAGAGAGGACTGTGTTTATGCAGCCTGGGGTTGACACAGCCTCAGAGTAAACTGGTCTCTGCTGGGTGGCTGCTTGTCCTCCAGCCCGTCCTCCCTCGACCTGGGGGAGCAGTAATCTGCTTGCTGATAGGCAACTGTTATGGCCAGGGGGATCTTGAATTAAACCTTCCTTTCCCCTTATTCACCTCACACTTGCCGCCACGTGCTCCCGGCCAGACAAAACCCACAGCAAAACCTTTTCTATGGGCAAGAAAACTGAGCTTCATTCCGGTCTGATCCCGGAATGACCCGAAGGTTTCTGATGGCAGTCCTCTGTCAGCACCAGTCCCTGAGTGCAATCTGCCCATGCCCTGTGAGGCCACCTCAAGCTGTGAAGCTGCCAGCATGGCCAAGCTGGTCTGTGACAGGTTGGCAATGTCCCTCTGTCCTTGGCATCTGTCTGCTCTGGGAAGGGAGCCAGTGCTGCGTGAGGAGGAGGCACAAAGGTGTTGGTGGTCTGGCATTGCAAGGGACGTGCTGAGGCTGGAGGGCTGTGGGGGGCCTCTTTCCTTCAAGTCTCCAGTTTTGGCTTTACAGAGGAGGAGAAGGATGACGGACTAACCATGTCGGTGGTGTCCAGTGAAGGTGTGAAGAGCCCCCCCAATGGAGACCACGTCGAGGCTCAAGCTGCCCAAGCTGACCGCCCTCCAAAGCCTGGTGCGTCCAGTGACTTTTTTGAAGCGGGGCAGATACCCTGTTTAGGAGGATGAAGGACACAGTGTATGTTTGTGGGTGATGGGGGGGGGTGGCTGTAGAGAGGAGTCTGGGACACAAGGAAGGTGCTGCATCTTGTCCGGATGACAGAAGCCGCAGCAAGTCATTTACCAGCCCCTTACTCTCGCTCAGCTCCTGCACTGGGGTAACTTTCACCCCCACCCAGCTCTGAGATGTAGCAGCAGCCATCCCATAAGCATCCCACAGAGGGGACTGCCAGTAACTATCTATTCCAGTATCACCTGTGCTAAAACACGTATCTCAGAAACACCAACCCCTCGAAACTTAGCGGTTTTCCTGCAATTTTATCGTCCCTCTCCCCTTCTAATCGGTAACATTTTATAAAAATCAGCATTGTTTTTGTAAGCACTCATCTTCAAGACAGCATGAACCAAAAATGCTGAGCTATAAACACGGCTAAATCCCATCAGAGCCAGAGGCTTGTGTATTTCCTTAAATTGAGACTAAAGTGGGAATATTTTAAATTCTTCAAAGAAACCGAGCATAAACCCCCTACAGCTTTAGCACAATATGGTCAAGAGAGCGCAGCGATAAAAACCCTTCAGAAATCTCCTGTTCTGTAAGTGCTTGATATTAATACTCCCACTTTTTGCATTATGTTTCCCACAATTTTGTTTCACAAACAAAAATGCTGGCAACACCTTCCCTACTAATGCACAGTCATGAGCTGAAGTAGGTTTAGCAGAGGCATCATGAACTGGAGCAATATTACATAGGTCATAGCCTGGTCTCAGCACTGCTGTCTCCACTTCTGATGTCCTTCACTGTACTGTGCACAGCCTCCTGCAGCTCAGCTGTGCTTTATGTCTAACATTGGATGCTGCTTTACTCTGCTTTCAAGATATTAAAAGATACTCATGAACATAAAGCAAGAAAGAAAAAAAAAAAGCCTTTCAGGTCACTGTTTAATATTAATATACTTCAAGTGTAGAACTTTTAATAAAAAATTAACATATTGTCAGTTTGACTAAAAAAGTAGCTCATATTTAAATTTTTTACAATTAAGTAAAAAGTGGAGGTGTGTGTGGAAAGTAGGTGAGAATGTATTAAATGTGTGCCGTTAGCCACCTTTAATTATTCAGATGTAAGTGAATAGATTTGGCTTTTTTGGTACTAAAGGTCTGGTACTAAAAGTACTAAAGTACTTTAGTACTAAAAGGCCAGAGATCTTCATTGCCCAAGAGTATGGAGACACCATGGATAGCTCAGTAAATGAGTAGTTCCAGGACGGTGAGCCATGGCATGGGCAATAATATTAAACCATTTCTCCTTTTCCCAGATGCTGCCCAGACTGGTCAAGGTGTTGAGCCCCAGCCACTGGCAGAAGAAAACTTAGCAGTGCAGATAGAAGCTGAGGAACTGCCAGACCCTGAGGTCATAGTTGATGGGGAAAGCCAGGAAGATGCCTCAGACTGTTTCCCGGATCCAGCTGATGACTGACCTGACATGCTTGCTGTTCCACCCTGAAGCCTGTGACACTTGTCCTTTGCATCCCATAGTCTCATTGTGTGTAAGAATCGGTCTGGCAAATTTTAGCAGGGAAAAGACGTGAGGTGTCAGACCTTCTAACCTCATTTAAAAAGAAAAAAAGGAAATATAAGGAAAAGCACACCCGTGGCTTCAAGGCCACACTGCCATGCGCTGACAGGTTCACTAACAAACAAAACTGGGCAGCTCCTTGATGCTTTGCCTGATAACAGAGCTGCAGCTAAACCGTGGAGCCCCAGGTGACAGCCTGAAACAAGCTGGGCGGTTCCTCCTGCTCCCTGCCCACCCAATGCCTTGCCATGTCTTTGCCAGCCAAGGACAGGCATGACAGGGGGATTGTGGTGGCCTGCCAGTCCCAGACATAAACTAAGGACCTGCCAGAAATTTCCCGAGAAAGAAAAAAATCTCCTCTTGGGAGATTTCAAGGCATTTTTTCACAGGCCCTGCAAAAGAAACTCAGTGGAGGTTTCAGCCAGGGATCTGTGTGCAGGGTGTTTATCCAAGCTCCACACCCTCTGTGATCTGGCCCTCACTGCTTGCTGCCTGGGGCCAGGAGCAGTGGTGGGGGCTGTAGGGTGATAACTGGCTTTGCTCCCCTTTTGGTGCCCTTTCACCAGGGTCCTGCTTGGATTATCTGTGAGCTAAACCAGCACCGTCACCAACTGGCCTCCTGCAGCAGGAGGGTGCCTGGGGCCTGGGTGCAAAACTCTGGCAGAAACATTGATTATAGTGCTGAGATTGTTTATCAGTGCAAGCATTAGTGCCTTCAGTGTAATGGTTTAGCTACTGCAAGCTGAAGCTGGCCATCTGCCCGTGCATGTAGGCTTGTTTGGTGCTGTGCTATTTGCACAGACAGCAGCAATTTATAGCATCTCTTAGGCAAGTCTCGCTGCTACGCATGTCCTGTTCTGCTCAGGGGAGGTTTGCACGTGGAGCAGCTGGGGTAGACCTGCAGGGAAGAAGGATGAGGTGAGGAGAGGGCAAGGGCTCTGTCCCAGGCAGCAGGTGGCTGAGTCCCTGGCACAGCTGCCCCGGGGCTGCAGGATGCGCTGCCGGAGCAAGGTATTTACCACACAAGACAATTTTGACAGTCAGAAGTGAGGCATGTTGGTGTTAAACTAGCCCAATGAGCTAGAAATGCATGGTAGAGCAACATATTTTGCATATGGTACATATTGAGATCAAAAGGGATGGGGAGGTGTATGTTGCATCCCTCTCTTCCCTTGTCATTTCTCCCCTGTTTTATATCGTGCTGACGTTGTGCTGTGAATCCCTCGGAAACGGATTTAAGATGTGCCTTGTAAATACCATCCAACGAGGTCTGTGAGTACCCCAGCAAAATGCAGGGTGAACTGAACGCTTCTCTTCCAGGTGAGGGAGCTGGTGGGATGGCTGCACGCTTCCCTGGGAGTCCTTTATCTGTGTGTTCGTGTCAAGGCTCTGCATCAGTGACACCCAACCTTAGGTGATTGTTCTTGTTGTTTCCTTGTCCTGTGATTCTCTTTAGAAGATTTTTTGGATCTTGTGAGCTGTGTTGGTGGTGACTCAGCCTGTCTCTGTTTTTTAAGGCTGCCACAGCAATCGGATTTTCCACGGTAGGAGTGAGATGATAATTCTCTTCCTTATGGTGCTGCACTGTCTCCTTTCAGTACAAACATTCCTCAAAAGCTATGAGTTGAGTGACAAACATGTGACACTGAGTGCTTGGGGTGGCAGCTGCCCGCAGGCAGCACAGGAGCAGCTGGGTGGAGAGTGTCAGTGGGTCAGTGTCACCAAAATGGGGGGGCGGAGGCAGCTTTGCTTTAGTTCTGCACATTCTGGCAGGGGCAGGCAGGGGACAGTCGACTCCAGCATATGCTTCAAAGGCTGAAGGGTGCTCTGAGGTGCACTGAAGAAGGTGGCAGTGTTTAGGTGCTCAGGGGGAGAGAGCTGGGCCAGCCTTGTCCTGCAGGGCTGGTGCATCCCAGCTCCAACTCGCCCTAGTGCCACCTTCCTGCTGTGAGCCCTGGGAGGGCTGGGGGTGCCTGGGTGGCTGTTAACACCACCACTAGAGTAACCCCAGTCTGGGAAGGATTTTTCCCATTGAGATGGGAGTCTGAGATGCAAGAGGTCTTTATGAGGCAGATGGGACACGGCTGGTTTTCTGTCCTTTCCCACTGAAGCTGCCATTCAGCAATGGGGCAAAAGTTTTGTAACTTTGGGGTCAGGAGAGAAGTGCTGCAGCCTGTGCTCTTCCTTTAACTGTATGTGTTTGTGCCCAGCTATTGTTCCTTTCTGGTGGTTCCCCTCCCTTTCCTTGCCATGGTTTTGTTCCAAATAAAAAAAAATAAATCTGTTTTCTAACTTGTTTTGGAAATGTTAAAGTTTTGTTATTCCACTGCAAGTACAGGCTGATTTTCAAGTTTTTGCACAGCGTAACAAAGGAAAGTTGATAACAAGTTACTGCTGACTAGAGCTGACTTGGGCAGTCTAGGGAACAGAGTCAGCCCAGAAGAAGCTGTAGGACAGTGGCATATAACTAGTCCCTGCTGGAGTGTGGGTGTTAATGTGCAAGTACATTTGTGTGCACCATTAGCTCACCAAGCCCTGCTCTGGTGTCTTGCCTGAACTGTGAGGTGCAGGAAAGGGAAATGGTCTGGTTTTGCCCATCTTTATCCATCTATAATTTTTTTGTGACACCTAAGCCACCTTAGGTGTGAGAGAGGATGCCAAACTGCATAGCACCTTCTGCAAGGAGGAGGTGACTCATGCTCACCTTTAGACAAGTGGTCCCCCCCCGATGGTGGTTAAAACCAATGTCACAGAATCACAGAATCATTGGGGATATCAAATCCCTTGACTGTGCCATTACAGGGTTATCCCTCGAACAGTGGTGTGACTGGACATGGGTGATCCTGTCCTGCAGCCTATGAATCCAGCATTCTGAGAAGCCACATGCATGAATTTGCAGTTGTTTTCCAGCCTGACTATGGCACTGCATCACCCAGGCAATAGCTGGGACACTTTCCAGGCTGGGGCTGTCTGACAGATAAGTCATGGTTAAAAAAACCTTCCAGATTTTAGGCATGTACATGGTAAGTTCGTGTCACTTTTTATGAATTATTGCAGCTCATTTCAAAACAAGCAAACAAGAAGTTTGTGTGTAACTCAGCTGTAGAAGACAGTGTCACAGATAGATATCTTTAAAACCATTTCCTTAACATGAGCCAACAAATTCTGGTGGTGCTGTAAGATCTAAAGTGCAGGTATTACTACCACCAGGCAGGCAGAGGTGAGATGCCCCACAGATTTCCACAGGTAAACACTGGTGACAGAAGAGGGCAAGAAGGGCAGCATCACCAGTTTCTGTCTGAGGTGGAAGCAGACTTGGTGGTGTGTCACCACAGAAGCTTGGATTAGCGTTTGGATATTGCTTGTGCCTTCTGCCGGGCTGCTCAGTGCCTGGGTGCAACCAAGCCCTGCTTGTACTTCACCACTCTGAGCATATGAAGTGCTGTCCTCTTGTTCTCTGGTGTAAAGCAGGCTGGGAAGCAGCAAAATGATCACCCAGTGTGGACCCTGCAACCTTTGACAACCCCTGACCGCGTCCTGCATTGGTTTTGTTCACAATAAACACTCCAGTTCCCTTCTGCAAGATTACATGACTCATCTCTCATCAGGCAGGGGATGTGGCTGGAGGCAGCAGGGGAGTCTTTACTGAGAGCCTATAAGGCCCTTAGACGAAGCCCTTCTGAATATTTGTGTTTTCCAGCAAGCAAGTCACAGAATCTTAGAATGGTTTGGGTTGGAAGGGACCTTAAAGATCATCTAATTCCAACTGCCCTGCAGTGGGCAGGGACATCTTCCACTAGACCCAGTTTCTCAGAGCCCTGTCCAACCTGGCCTACTTCCAGGGATGGGGCATCCACAACTTCTCTGGGCAACCTGTTCCAGAGCCTCACCACCCTTACAGTAAAGAATTTCTTCCTGATATCCAATCTAAACCTACTCTTTTTTCAATTTGAAGCCATTACCCCTTGTGCTATCACTACGTGTCCTTGCTGGCAGGGGCTGTAGTATAAAGTGTGTATTTTATAGTTAATATAAATATAGTTAATATTGGAAATTCTATGCAGGATTTTTAAAACTCACCTGAACTGATGACTGCTGGTGCTAGTTTTAGTATTGTCTAACGCTATGGAAACTAGATGTAATACAGACCAAGAATTACTTGGAGGCACAATTTTCAGCAAATCTTTTGGAATTGCAAATGTGGTACATTAGAGAGAATTATTGTCTTCTCCCATATCGTATGCAATTAGAATAAAGAAATGCAGCTAAGTGTCTATCCTCTAGCCAGCATCGCTGTCTCGGCTTTGGTTTATAAAAGTTCCTCTTTGAGGGCAAAACATATTTTTCCAAAACTAAGGAGTGAAGCAGTTTTAAAAGCTTTCTTTGATAACAAAAGTCATGTAGCAAGATACCTTCAAACAAACAAAGAAATGAAAGAAAAATTGTTGTGATGCTGTTTTTGTCTGTGTGAAGAGAACTGCGGCAGTGACATCGACTGCATGACTTGGAGCAAAGAACATGAAAGCTTTCAGTCACAGAGCAATAGGCCTCAGCTTTCTCCTCTGAAACAGCAGACAAATCTATAGTGAGGGAATTTGGGACAGCAGGAGTGGGATTCAGAGATGTGTGTGAGTGAGGAGTCACCTGCTTGGCAGTCAGCCTCAACTCACCTTGAGCCGACCACGGGCGGGGGGGTGGAGGCTTTGCCAAGGTGGCACATGGAGCCTGGAGCAGGAGCGACCTGCTGGGTGGGACAGCCTCTGCTGCTTCTGTGTCTGTCACATCAGGACGAACTGTGACAGGACAGAGAGAAAGGGAGGGTAACGATGAGAGAGGGTGACTGCTGTGGAGGATCCAAGGGGAAAAAAGGGTGCGGGCTTAGTGACTGAGGGTACAGAAGTGGTGGTGAGTAATGGCAGGCATGGATGCTGATCCTTCCCTTGATTAGGTGGGGAGGCTGCAAGGTCTGTCTTCCATCATCCTGCAGTATAAAATGTTGTCCTCCAGAAAGCTGTAGCCGCTGTTGCTTCCTCTCCCTGACATTTGGCACGAATCCTGTTCCCTAGACAGATGCACTTCCCAGCTGGTGGTAGATCCCAGCTCCGCTGAGCCCCTCAGGCAATGCTCTGCCTGGGGCATCAGGGACTTCTTAGTCCTCCCTGTCTTTCTCATGATGAGCAATTTGCAGGGACTGAGTTGTTCTAGTTTTGATAAGCCCGTGAAGGGGAGAAAACACAAGTATTCCGATAGCAGCAAACAGGAAATAACCTTTTCTTCTCTCCCATCTCCTCTCATTCTAGCCAACACTTGTCAGGATTTTTCTTCTGATGTGACTTTCTGGTATGGGCTTTGCCAGATGAGATGGGAGAAGGGTGATGGGAAGGTGGGACCCCAGGCAGCTTTTTAGATGCCCTGAATAGAGGTGAGAACAGGCCAGTTCCCTTTCTTTTGGGTGCACAAACTGGGTCAGGATTTCTCTTGCTGCCAGAGGAGGCCACGGTGAAAGCTGTGCAACTTCAGCTTCTGTTTGTACATATTTCTGCCCAGCTGTTGAGGGCTTGGGGCTCTTTTTCTTCAGATGATTTAGTTTCTGATAAAGAGTTTTGTTTCCTTGCCTCTTGTTGAGAGCTTAAAGCTTTGCTATTTGGCCAGTACAAAGACCTGTTTATAGCTTTCTCTGGAGAACAAGATGTACATGGAGAGGTTCCTCTTTGCTGGAGAGAAGATCAGTAGGAGTCAACGCTGCTGTGAATTTTATCTCACCTATCTTAAAAAACCCCAATGGTTAAACAGTCTCAGCATAAAAGGGAGGTAGATGCCCGTGTTTATACCAAATTAGTGATGCTGCAGAGGTTAAAGGAACATCCAAGATAACACAAGTAACCATGGCAGCTGTAGTTCCAACCCAGTGCATCTTACCCGTGTGGGCACAAGGCATGCACAGTAACTTTCCATTGGGGCTGCACTGTAAACTTGCAGCTCTACAAAGCGCCCACTGAAGTTCAGCAAATCCTTTCTGAGTTGCTGAAAGCGGTGTATGAAGGCAACATGAGAGGCAGTCAACAAAAAGGCCACTCTTCCATGATGGAAAAGAGGCAGCTGAAAAGAATGGTGACACCATCCTGAGCCTGACCACTGAGACTCTGCTTGCAACAAAAGGTGCTCTGAAGGGAAGGTGCTTTTAAAATGGTGCTTTATAGACAGGTAGTTGGGAGCCAGGACTCACCTGCTTCCAATTATTGGCTTTCTTTGGACTGATGGGATGACCTTAGCAAGCCACATCGACCTCTTCTGCCTCATTTCCCCATCTGTAATCCTGGGGTGATCCCCTAGGCCTGCTCTGTAAGATGGGCTCAATCCTGGCTGATCCACAGCAGCACCTTATACCTGTGTGTGGCATGGCTGGGAGCTGGGAATGCCCATGGGGTGCCAGGTTCCATGTGGGCTGCAGCGAGCACAGTGCTCCAGCTGCCACAGGATGTCTGACTGCCCAGGACGGGAGGAAGGAGGTTTACAAAAGATATTCCAGTGGATGCTGCCTCTGGTTAACCTTGCTAACTTGTGGGGTTTCCTTCTGACTGCCAGGAGCACAACAGAAGGAGCTGGCTTGCAAGTATTGCCCTGGTAGAAACACCGTGGAAAGCCGCAGCCTCCCTCCAATGGCCCGGTGCTCATGTGTGCTGCACAGAACATCCTGTGCCTGCCTCATCGAGGTCTTGAAAACCAGCAATTCTCAGAAGCGCAGTGACACAGCGCCTTAGCCATTGCTATTCCTGGCTGACAACGGCAGCCGAGGGGTGGAAATGTTTAGAAACCCGGGCCTGTCCCTTCCCCTGCTGTGGGAAAGGCCTGCTCTCTGCCAACACCCCACTGCAGCCGCCCCACGCTTCCTGTGCAGGTGTGGTGTGTTGGCAGCAGAGCCGAGCCTGGCTGGGATGGGGATGAGCCCATCCCGCCGCCCTGCTGTCCCTGCACACCGAGGCTGGCTGGCTGGCAGGACTAGGCAGGGTGGTGCATCGAAACGGCTGTGTGTAGGAACAGACAAACATCTGAGAGGCCAAAACCAGGTTCACAGAGCACAGGAAACTTGTGGGACCAGAGAAGGAGCAGGGGAAACTGAGCTGCTAAGTCGGGATCCGCGCTGAGCAGGAAAAGTGTGTGCTGCACTGGATCTCGTGGCTCCAGACGTACGTGGTGCAAAGAGCATCTGTACAAGTGATGTGAAAGACACCAGAATGCTCTTTTTCTCACTTCAGTGTGCAGCAGCAAGACTGTGGT